ATCGAGTTGAAAAGTTTAGTATCGTGACAACCCTAGTTGTGAATGAAACGGTGCCTAGGTTTGAAAGAGCCCCTGTGTGTCGCTGAATGTGTGCATTGATGACTGAAAGACATCTTCTGCTTCCATTTATATGTTTACTACAGTGTGTTGAATTCATGTTAATGTGTATTTAAAAACATTTTAATTAGTGCAAAAAATTGCAGGAGGGAATATAAAAAAAAAGTAATCAACCAAGACTTTCGCGACCCCCATGCAGTACCTCTGCGGACCCCCTAGGGGTCGCGGACCCCCTGTTGAAGACCTCTGGACTAGATTAATTAGGCTATGTATGCTTCGAAAAAAGAAAAAAAAATCCATATTCCCGCTTCTTTTTTTAGACTAGACTACTGATTAAGGCAGATTGAAACTGCAATTAGAATACATTTGGTGAAATCAAGAATATATTCCCTCAGTTCAGCAAAAAATTAAATAAAATTTGCTTTTAAAAACATAAATGGATTCTCTTGCTCTCAGGTTTTCAACCAGGTTCTTAAACAGGCGAGGGCCGTGACAACAAGAGAATGGCTTACAGGTGATTTTTGTTGAAACATTAATTATTATTAAAAGGACGACTTAGAGATCTGGATGGTTTATACAATAAATATAGAGGGTTAAAACTTACATATTAATGGTTTTAAAAGAACCTGGAAAAACATCTCTAAAAGGCACATATGGGTAATGCTGAAACCACAAAAGTGGTGGATTCCTGTGGGAGCTTTTCCCTGGTCTTCCTAAGCAATTGAGCAGCTGAATACCACTCTGAAAAACAAAACAAAACAAAAAACATTTAAAACTCCTGTTCCTTCGGTCAGAAATTCATTGTGTGGTCGTAACATTATTATGTCCACAGTTACATACGGAAAACACACGGCTTCTATCTTGTTCTTTGTCATGAAAGAGCCCCAGGATATAACACAGGATGGTTCCCATGCAGCACACTTACTGCACTGAGACGCAACTGGATTGGTCGGTATCTGTCATGTGACTGCAGCTTGTAGTCCCCTGTGTTAGGCCACAGTAACTGAAGCTTCCATATGGTACAGATCAGATGGAGCTTTTAACCGCAGCATTCCTGCAGCACAGAGGCTCAGCACTTGTACCCACAATGAACACTGACCTAATGCAACTGTGTGTGGATTACTACTCTATATTCTCCCATTGTGCGCTGGTATACATGTTAACCACCTCTCACTAACTATCAATAGGTATGTAATCTGCTTACGCTTTGGGTTATTTTTATAAGGGATCTTATTCTTTCTATAATAACACAATTATATGTATACAGTAATATTACATCATACAAGAGGAAAGAAGGAGAGTGTCTCTTAAAATTAGCCTTTTTGGTTAAATGCCCTACAACTAACCTCTAATTTTAAATGCAAACACAAAAGTTTGCATTTTCATAGCACAAGCCTTAAAAGACCTAAATCCCAAGTGTATTGAATGAATCGTGCATATTCTAAATGGTTGTTCCATAGGTTACTGTGCATTTCAGCTTCTACCAAATAGCCCTGAAATAAGTTTGTGCATGAGTTGCTATGCAGCCACAGTATGCATTGGTATTTTTAGATCTACATGAAATGACTGGTTGATGTGACCATAATGAAGTTGCACATCAGCGTGGTCAACTACAAATGAATGACAAAGAAAAGACAGCGTGGTTTAAAGGAGACTACATTTACAGTGTTTGCCTACAGCACTAAAACATTGGAAAACTAAAGCAAAGTCCATAATGTAAGACATCTATAAACGGTAAAATGTGTTCAGGCGACACAGATTGAGGAACACGGGGATAAAGGTGGACCATTATTCTCCTCTCCATCAGAGATATGAACTGTTCAAAAGGTGAACAACATCAATCCTCTTGGGATTCTGCTTAAAGTTGGTCTCACCGTGCCAAAACACATACATGCTCAGGTTACAAATGCAGGACAGGACCTTTCCCCTCTGTAGATGGTTCCCCTTCAATATCATATCCCTCTAGATCAGGGGTCACCAACGCGTTGCCCGCGGGCACCAAGGGGCCCTCAAGGACCACATGGGGGGCCCTCTTCGTCTTCTGAAAACAGAAGAACTCACTCAGTGGGTTAAGTTTAATTATTTTTTATTCTGTTGCTCTTCTTTTTAATCATTTATGTATTATTTCATCATGTTAACTATTTCATCATATTTCAGTGGTTTCAAAATGACAATATTAAAAAGAAAATTAGAAATGAATAAAAGAATAAAATAAGAATAAAAATGAGTTTTTATGGATGAGATTTACTGTAGGTGAACACTGATCCCTCCAGTTCATAGGTCAGCATTGGTAGCCCTTCCTATGACTCCATGAAGTAGCCCTCAGCCTTATAAAGGTTGATGACCCCTGCTCTAGATGAATTGATGCTGACAGTATTTTGTCCCTGAGCATGAGACCTGCAGAAATTGATCAAAGCAGCCGTGCACAACATCGGTTCAGATCTCCAATCACTGCAGGGTATCGACAGCAGGAACTGCTGAACGGTCGTTAAAATAATCAGATACTTTTCAGCCAACTCACCCTTTATTTAGGCTGCAGAACTCAGTAAAATGGTTCCACAGTGTGACAGCAAACACATAGGAACAAAGGAGAACCTCCAACCATGAATCTTCAGCTTTGCCACACTGTCTGAAATCACGCCTGGACAATTCGCTGCCATGAAACATACTGTTGTGTATTTTCCAGTCTCACCATTAATGCATTATTTTAACTGAGTGTCTTGACTGCACTGGCCATTTTATGTGCTTATTTACCAATTTCTATTTATTTTAGAATTAGTATTTTTTGCACCTGTACACTCTATTGTTCATTGTTGCTTATGATATGCACATTTTCATTAGGTGTCGAAGGTTACATCCGTATGTTATATATCTAAAATGAGAAAAACAATTAAACACATCAGTGCAAAATTTTCACAACTAACTTTGTTATCCTTTTTGTTAACTTTTTTTGTAAACTTGTGAAGTCAAACCACAGAGCTTTCTTCATCTATGTAAAAAACCCTGTTAGTGTTACATAAAAAATTACTTATCACAAGCTCCATGTAATAAACACAATTACCGTGTGTGAGAGGAAAGGGCTACCTTGTTTTTATTAAATAAACTGATGATTCTGTCACAAAATGTTTAAATTGAGCTAGTTGCACAGATGGAGTAATATAATGAAATGATCTTGTTTGTTAGATTGTAGTTATACTCCAAAACAATAATAAAGTCCCTGAAAACTGACAGGAACCTCCTGGAAAGTAGATCCAGATATATCAGATATTTGAACAGGAAAATATTCGGAATCCTTCATTTCTGCTTCCAGTTGTCTGTTGAAATAATGAGCTGTTAAAAGTTTGTCTACAGTCTGACAGTGTTTCTTGACCAAATTTCATTTATCAGGACACCGAGCAAAAGAATGAAACAAAAACAGGGCAAAAGTTCATTGTTTGATCTATTAAGTGAACCAAAGAGCCATTTGCTGCTCAAAAATCAATGAAATCAGTTCAAGGCACCTATCATTCCAAGTATTGAATTATCTATACAAGATATTTGCAAAGGACTTATGTAGCTTATAATGGAGATAAATATGACTTTTTATTAAATTTGATGGAAGAAATGTGTCAAAACAATGCTACTGAAAATGTGTGTAGCGTATCAATTCAGTTTATATCTTTTAGCACCAATTCACAACCAGTGTCAATATATCAAATCATGCAGAAAGGTCCAAAGTCTATTACATACATTTTAAAGGTATAGTGGAGGATGTTCGTTTTGCGAGTGAATCATCAAAATAAGTTGTACTCCTAATTGTCGATCATTCTGGTGATATTTTCATGTAAGGCCGTGCTATGTCCTCGTCCTCATTTTCACCTAAACCCATGCAGAGATATAGCTGGCTGCTGAGGGTTACCTCCAACTCTCAATTTTAGGGCATCCATGCATAAGAAATATGAAAATATTAGGAATATGTTTAAAAGTTCCTTTTTCGTTCATATTTCAATCTGTTTTCTCATCAATGTTCAAGAGTTTAGGGCGAAGTGCGCTCCTGCGACAGGGGAGGTGATTCTCTGCAGGCAGGAATTTCTCTGCATTTATCTCTCAATTTTGTGTATCTACGCTTAGGAAATATGAAAATATTAACAATATGTGCAAAAGTTCCCTTTTCATTCACATCTCAATCTGTTTTCTCATCAGTGTGTGAGTGGGGAGGTAATTCTCAGCAGGCAGGTGGTTCTCTGCATAACACAGTGGTGAGACTGAAATAAAACATTGCATATCTTCTTTTGGAAAATAACCTTGTGTGAGGGATACAAAAAAGCAACTTTTAAACAGATTGTGCACGAGGATAAATGGGCTCGTGCACGCTCTCGCATGCATTTAATAGGCAATTCCTCACAGGAGCGGGTACAGGGTTGTGCATGTGCAGAGGGCAGGTCTTTCCAATAACATTGTTCAATTGTTATTGAACAATGCAGAAAAGTTCAGTTTATAATTAAGAAATAAATAAGTAAAATGGAAAATCAGTGGAATACAGACTGACACTGACATGCAGCTTTTAAATCTTCTGAGCATGTAGAACACTACTGAAATTCATAGTGAATGATCTGAGAATGCACTTTCTATGTTAAATAGTGAAGATTTAATGAAGTATGAACCCATAACATGGCTTCATCTACTTGAGAAACACAATTAAGCGGATCAGCTCTGAGCACATATCATAGCTACATCCACATTTGACTCTAGATTATCTATATGAACATATTTCTACTAAGATGATTTAAACAAAGTTATAAACATAAATAAATAAACCAATCCTTCAAAAACTTTTGATTGTTTTCCCCCCTTGTGGAAGCTGTGGTTTAGGGGGGCGGGCTCCCTGGTTCTCAGAAAAGGTTCCTGCAGTGAGAAACGCGCCTTTTGTTCCATCCCCGCCGGTTAGGGTGTACTGTCTCTTTAAGAACCCTCTGCCAGTCTGTTTCGTATTGATCAATCCTCCATTTTCCAACACAGAGCGGCGGCAGCGGGAGAGAGAAGCGAGCCACCCCTCTACCTGGAGAGGAAGCCAGGGACCGGGGGCAGACATGGCAGCCAATATGTACCGGGTTGGAGGTAAGGCTGGCGAATTTCAGGACACTATTCTTTATAACGTCGCTTTCGCCATTATCCACGCAGGCTCGTTTTACGTTAAACAGCGTTGTTCGTCGCTGCTTCCCTTCGTTTTTTTCTTCTTCTGTTATTTCCCCAAAGCTAAATAGCTCACTGAGATGATGGTGAGTCTATGAAGAGGAGGATGGTGATGAAGACTAAAAACTGCTCCCTTATGTCCATATTTTTTTTGTCTTATGTGTACGTTTTCTTTATTTAAAGGGAGCATAGACACAGGGGGCTTAAATATAACACTACTACTAAACTATTCATTATCCTTTTGTTTTAGAAATGCTAAAAGTTTCGCCTTGGTTTAACTGTTTCATTTACTCGTTCCTATAAGTTGTATTTTGACCTGAAGGACCCGCTTTATATCTGAAGCATCCCGAGGAGGAAAAGGCGACAGGGACAAAAAAAGTTAAAGGCTGCACAATAAAAAAAAAAAAAAATGAACAGGAAAAAAAAATCACAGAATCCTTCTGGATATTTTACTGGTCTACAATTCATTTATTTATGTGTTTATTTATTTATTTATTTAATACAAGCAATTATTTATTTATTTTATACAGGCAATCACTTCTAATACCTAATTAAGATTCCTGATTAATCCTCCCACTAATTTCCTCCTACATCCTAATGGTGCTCAGTAAACTAAGCTCTCATAGCTGTTCCACTGTTTAAATATGACATTATTATATTTCAATTGGTATTTTAATTAAAATACAAAAATAAACCTTATAAAGCACATTATAAATCATAGTCCTCTGATGGAGTAGTGATTTGTATGACTTAGACAACTTTAATTGTCATTTTACACTCACAAAGTGTTTACAAAAGGAAACTTCGTTTAGTACAGCTTTCCAGACGGTAAATGAACATAAAGTGCAGCAGTGATCAAATGTAAACAGTGTGGGAGAAAAAACATGGTGCAAAAACACATTGATTTGCAAATATGCAGTATTTTTGGTTTCAGGGTTCCTGCAGATCCTTAAAAAGTCTTAAAAGGCATTGAATTCTTTAATATAATTGGAATTAAAATGTCTTAAACCAGTCTTTCATAGGTCTTAAAATTGTTACATCATAAATGGGATTTTATTTTTGTAATCCATATCAAACAATAAAATAATTGACAATATATTTCTTACATTCACCGAGCTGCTCGCTGTAACCATTATTCTTCCGTCCCGATAGAGGACCCAATAAGAAAGATGTTGCGACCGGACCTTGGTGTGATGTGTCACTAACTTTTTATCTGGGCAACATGGGGAAGTTTTAAATTCAATGAAAAATAGGCAATCCAAGAGTTTTCTGCATGGCTAAAACCACTGTCAGGGAATGTAGATGAAGTACCATGGGAATCAAGGCAGCGGAGGCACAACTTGCACTCGATGCGTCAAAATCAAGTTATGGAGAAGCAGCAGGTATTTCTCCGTTCTGTTCCACCCTTGTCTCTGCAACGCCTCCACAGCATCTCTCACATCAGCAACAGCGCCGGTAGAGGCATGTCTCAGGATAATGTATGGTGGTACGCAAACTATGAAAGTAGAGGGATTGAGTAGGGAACAAAACAAAGTTGGTGAATTCAGTTCAGTAGTTGTTAAAAATATATCTATTTGTTTATTTTTAGCTTTCTTCCTATATGGAAAGTTTTTCAAAATTTGAAACGCATCTACTCGGCCTGAAAGTAATGGTTTATGTTAAAATAAACATTTGAGGTAAATTTGTCACTACCAGGTTTTTCTTGTGTTTATTGTCAAGTTGGTGTTAATTTTTTTATTTTAAGCGGCATTAAAAAGTCTTGAATTTAACTTGCCTTATGCTGTAGGAACCTTGGGTTTGGTGTTATCAGCGTGATGCAGAGTCTGTGACATGATTTAGAGTTTTCTCAACATTCTCAACAGTCTGATGGCGGTGGGGAAGAAACTGTTGCAGAATCCACTGGCCTGCATCAAATGCTGCGAAGCCTCTTCCCAGAGGGCAGCAGGGAGAACAGTCCATGGTGGGGGGTGTGAGGGGTCATTTATGATCAGATTTCAGAAAATGCAAATGTTTTGAAAAGAACGCAAAGGACAGCTGATAGTTATTTGTGTATGTATGGGGCGATGATATCACAGCCGTACAGGAAGCAAGCTGATTTGCAGGCATTAAGCAACAAGTACAGTCAAGATTGGACTGATGATCATCAACCCATGATGGATGCAGGGATGAAAAGCTGGTGATGACCGTGACTACGCTCTAAACTTTTAAGTGGTTCAAAACCCCCGCCCCACTTAAAACGTTGTATGATTTCTTTTTTTTTTTCCACTGCAGTGCTACCATGCCCAATCTGATCCTGTATTAATAATTTTAGCTCACTTCTGTCTGTCGATCATTTTTGGTAAAAGTAGCAAGTGCACCTCTGCAGAAAAACAGAACCAGTTTCATATATTGTTTTTCAGTAAGTAGGTTTATATTTCTGAAAATTTTACTCGTTGTATGTTAAGGTAACTAAAGCTTTTTTATTTAGACACTGAAATTATTAAATGTATAGTTAACATATGGCTTGAACATTTCTTGAATAGTTGGCTAAAGCTCTTTTTTAGTAACCATGTTGAAGGTTGTTAAAGTTGTAATTTGTAAAAAAGTTTCTTTAACCTCTCAAAACCCAACGGGTCGCTTTAAAGCGTTTACAAATAATAACTCAAAATGCATGAAAATTACACTGTTAACGTGTTTACCAATATAGACATGTTAGACATCGTTGGAAAGCTTAGATTCTCCACAATTCAACCACCTAGTTCATTTTATGGAAATGGCAAGCACCATAGCACAATTAACATAGATATAGCAGCATGTCAAAATGTACCATGACAAAGCAGCCACAAGAAGCAAGCATGTCTTTATTACTGCTGATTAAAAAAGACCTATTATTTTCAAGAACAAAAAAAAACATCTTTGTCATGGTTGAACTGATGCAGCTTGAGTGTTTTACTCACCCAATTTTCATGTACCGGTATATATTCAGAAACTAGAAGGTGTTAGCTTTCAAATAATGCATCACACATGTAACATGGGTTTGCGGTTCCTAAGTTATTTTTGCAAAATAGGAGAGAATTTCCTAAAATGTGGATATTAAGGGGTCAATTATTATACATGTTGATTATAAACCCAACTCTGATCATAACTTCATAGATAGGATTTCTTGGTTCAGCCAAGGGCCAGGGGGGCTGGTTTGAGGACCCAGTGGATTTCTTCTCTGATTTTAGTGGATGACACGGCTCTGCTTGCTCCTTCCAAGAATTAAGTTTTGAAGCAGTGGGCATGAAGATCAGCTCCTTAAGTCAGAGTCTCTGGTTACTGACGGAAGAAGTATGTGTGCCTTCTCCAGGTCAGAGGGGAGTTCCTGTCTCAGTTAAAGGAGTTCAGGTATCTCATTGTACTTTATTTTTTCTTATGAAGGGTGAGTGAGAATGGATATTTAATTCAATTCAATTCAATTCAGTTTATTTATATAGCGCCAAATTCACAACACATGTCATCTCAAGGCACTTTACAGTTCAACCAGATCATACAGTCAAATTGATACAAAGTTTTCTGTCTAAGGAAAACCAGTTGATTGCATTGACTCATTGACTCAAATACAATCCCTCACACTAAGCATGCTTGTAGCGACAGTGGAGAGGAAAAACTCCCTTTTAACAGGAAGAAACCTCCAGCAGAACCAGGCTCAGTGTGAGCGGCCATCTGCCGAGGCCGACTGGGGTTCAAGGAGATGGAAGCAGAGACACAAAAAGCAGCTGTAAAAGGCGGCCCCGTCCAGGAAACACACAGCCAGGCAGACGAGCTCCGAGCCAGCTCCCATTCCAGAGGACGAAGAGAGCACATCCACTCAGTCACGGTCAGAGAAACAGGACCACACTGGAAAACAGGCCGATCTCCAACATCTATAAACAAGGGTGTTGATGGAAGCAGCACAGCTGATGTTTCTTTCCAGGATGACGTCACAGCCAAACAGGAACAGACGAGGCAAAGCTACTCTGAGGAAAAGCAGAGAGAGCAGAAGGTTAGAGATTGAACTAACAGATTCTGCAGAATAGGAGAACAGAGAGAGAATGAAGCAGAATGATGAAATGGGGGTCCCTATGCCCTCCAAAAGTCTAAGCCTATAGCAGCATAACTATAGAGATAGCTCAGGATAACCTGAGCCACCCTAACTATAAGCTTTATCAAAAAGGAAAGTTTTAAGCCTAGCCTTAAAAGTAGACAGGGTGTCTGCCTCACGGACTAAAACTGGTAGTTGGTTCCACAGGAGAGGAGCCTGATGACTAAAAGATCTGCCTCCCATTCTACTTTTAGAAATTCTAGGAACCACTAGTAAACCTGCAGATTGAGAGCGAAGTGCTCTGTTAGGAACATAAGGAACAATCAGATCTCTGATATAAGATGGAGCTTGGCCATTTAAGGCTTTATATGTGAGAAGGAGGATTTTAAATTCTATTCTTGATTTAACAGGAAGCCAATGAAGAGAAGCCAGGATAGGAGAGATATGATCTCTCTTTTTAATTTTCATCAGAACTCTGGCTGCAGCATTTTGGATCAGCTGAAGGCTTTTAACTACAGTTTGTGGACTTCCTGATAGTAAAGAATTACAATAGTCCAGCCTTGAAGTAACAAATGCATGGACTAGTTTCTCAGCATCAACCCTGGACAGGAGATTTCTAATTTTTGCAATGTTCCTCAGATGAAAGAAGGATATTCTAGAAACCTCTTTGATATGGGATTTAAATGACAGGTCCTGATCAAAAATAACACCAAGATTTTTTACTTTATTATCTGAAATCAGTTTAATCCCATCCAAATGAAGTGACTGGCTAATCAGCTTCTTTTTCAGAGACTCTGGTCCAAAGACTATAACTTCTGTTTTGTCTGCATTCAGAAGCAGAAAGTTAAGAGTCATCCAGGTTTTTATGTCTTCAAGACATGCC